CTGCTGAGACCCTCTTAGGCACCAACAGAAGGGTTTCTTGCAGTGGTGAGCACCCAGTGGGATGAAGATCCTTACCAAACGGCAAAGTGGGTAGCAAACACAGGTTTTTATAGCCTCTCCTTAGTGCAAGCACGCTTAGGAGCTGTTTTAAGGAAAACATGCATGTATACTTAATTATCCAAAACTTTATACGTGCTTTTATTCAACTCATCTAAATTTTGACAGTGGAGGAAAAGCTGCAAAAGGCCTTTCTCCTGTTGTGGTTGCTGTTTGCCGAGTTGAGTTCATGGTGTTGTAAGCAGCTCTTGGTCCAGAAAAGACAACTGTGCTGTGCTGTCCGAGCTCAGCGCAAGATTTAGCAGATTTGGTTTGCTGGTCCCAGAGACAATACAGCTTCACATCTTTTTAACTTTCCCTTTTGGAAGCACAGTGGAAACATCCAATCTCTCGGCAGCTTTGTGCGTTGCGTTGGCCCTCGTTGCAGGTGGAGAAAACAGAGGCCATGCGATATTGCTCAGGTTATGGACAGAGGTGGCTAAGCCAGGGTTAGATTTTGGGGCTGCTTTCCAGGCAAATGGTTCATTAAACCTTCCCAATTTCTGGAAGATGGGCTTGGGGAGGGAGAGGAAATTTCCACATAGGGATTCGGTTTGGGATGATGGGAATTATATTACAAAATGTATTTGAAGGACTGGGCCAGAAGGTGATAGTGAGTATTAGCGATCACGTGTCAGCTGGAAGCCATGTGTAGTATTACAACGAAGCCAAGATATTTACTTATTCCTTTATAAATGAAAAGATATCGCCCTCCCTGCACTCAAGACAAAGCTCCTTCGCTTTTTTGCTGATTTAACTGGTATTTAGAAAAAATGCTTAATCTACCTTAACAAAGCATGGTGTAAGTATCAAGAGAACAAATATCAAGGCTTTAACAAGGAGTGTCAATATTGACAGTGCTCTGTGTTGAGGGATATTGGTAGGTTGTTTTTATTATAGTAAGCAACTTGTCAGAGGAAAACTCAGATGGAGCTTTGCAAGCGCCGATAAAACCTGCAGGTGCTATTGAAATTGAGCCCTTGTTTGTGTGTGCTTTGAATGTAATTTCCAGTTTCAGAAGTCAGCTTTATGACTTTCTCATACCCCTCCTCCCTTTCAGTCTCTCCCACGGTGTAGATTAAACGTTCTTCCCTGAAAAGAGTTATTGAAGGATTGAACACCTCCTCAACTTGTAATGAGTTCTTCCTAGTCTGATGTATTTGCTCCATACCTTAAAAATTAGCCATTGCTGAGGCCAGGTGTTGGTATCAGGAGCACTTTGAGCACTTCTTCATCAGTCCCAGCCTGTGCAGAAACCTTGGTTTCTCCTGCAACCTTCTTGCAGTTGCACTTCTGCTCCATGTTGGGTCCTCCACACCCCTTACTTGGTGCCTGTTGGCAGCAGAAGGTTGGTTCCCTACAGAAGATCTGGCTACATTAAATAGCTTGAATGCAATCTCTCACTCAAGTGCCATCTCTAAAGGGCACTGCAAAATTGGAGGTGAATCCTGCCGCCAGTTAACAGCTTGGAGACTTGGCAGCTCAAGGAGTTGCAGGCTGTGGAAAGGCAGGTCAGGCTCCCCCGGCATCCTGCTCACTTTGGCCAAGTCGTTTAATCTTGGCATCTTGCATCTTCAGTTGGAAGCGATATTCCCTTCTCCGGCTGGGTGTTGTGAGGGTACTGACACCAGGGTGTTCAGGTATCGAAATGATGAAGCTAGAGGAGGTCTCTGGGGCCTGGAGCTGGCGCCCGTGCCCATGCTGGGTGTTTTCTTTGCTGGCTGTAAGACACTCGCTGCTCAGTGCCTTATAAAAACTGAATTGCATCACCTTGTAGTGACCTTACAGAAGTGGCTGGTTTGCCATGCTGAGTGGGAATCACAGGCTGGGTTGCATTTAGATCATCTGGACATGGCCCTGACTGCCTTAATCTCAACATCAAAGGTTGTGTGGCCTTGGAGAAGATAAAGTCATGAAAGCACTGCAAAATTTTCCAGCCAGAAGCTGAGTTCTACGCTTTGCAGAGGTCTGGCTATTCTGGGAGTGAAGCACTTTAATTTTACCAGCCTGCGGGACCCATTCCTGTTTTCTACCCAGTTGTCAACACATTTTATTGGGATACCTATGTTTTCCATGGTTGCAATCCATCAAAATAATGGCCAGGTCTGACCTTGCCTTAGGTTGGGTAATCCCAAAGAGAGTTGGCTGCAGGGCATCTCAGGATTTATGAAATCATGAGCTTCATGGTACCTTTTCTGGTTGTTTGCTTGCATGTTGTGTGCTTATTTTGTTCTTCTCATTTTAGACTAGTCTTCACAATGCCATAAAGCAGAATATTTCCAAATGAAGAGGGCGTTTCTAAGGCGTAGGACAAAACACCCGCAGATATCAGTGTTCCCTTACTTGACTCCATTTTTAGTGGATGTGTCTGTAATCGTGTTTCAGTTCTGTGCCATGGTGGCCATGGATTTTCACTTGAGCTGGTAGGAACTCCTCAGTTCTTCAGTACAAGGCTCTAAAGGGGAAAGGACCCACAGGCTATGGAGACTCCTTTGTTTGTGGCGGCCACCCATTTGGGGTGGCCAGAGCTGTTAAAGTTGCTTTTTGCTGAAGGTCTTGCTTGGGTGGAGAGGCAGCGTGAGCTGTGTCAACTGCAGCTAAAAGCTTGGTATTTATGTATGAAGTCTTATCCAAATAAGCCTGAACTGGGATCTAACTGAGGAGTAGGCACTGGTCTGGCCCTCCTGTACAGGATGAATATTATCTACTCAGTTACATCCGACTGACGCAAGAAACCGTTTATTTTTAGGTGGTGTTTCCTAAAATAGTGATGGAGAGGGAGGGTAACTCAGTGGCGTGACATCCAGCAAGCGGCAAGTCACACCCTGAGAGGTTGTCTTTCCTAAACAGGGTTTCTGTGGTTAGAAAATACTGGATATGGGTTGCCTTATACATTCCCCAATGTGGGTTCTGTGGTTGAAGCACTGGCTGGAGGAAACCTGGGGGGATGTCTGCACACGGACAAGCGTTTCTCAGGATCTGTTTCTGATGTTGCTTGAACGCACTTGACGTTTGAATTTTTGCTTCAGGACCAGGACATGGGGAGGCTGAGACAAGAGAATGCATTTACTACAACGCCAACTGGGAGCTGGAGAAGACGAACCAGAGCGGCGTGGAGCGCTGCGAGGGGGAGAAGGACAAGCGGCTCCACTGCTACGCCTCCTGGAGAAACAACTCGGGGTCCATCGAGCTGGTGAAGAAAGGCTGCTGGTTGGACGACTTCAACTGTTACGACAGGTAATAGCTTAACTTCTTGGTTTTTTTCTGAATACAGGTTTAATTGTTCCTCGAAGTGCAAAGGCTCATGAGGAAAAGAAAGCCCATTCATCCTCTGTAATTACTTCTTTTGCTAATGCAGCTCTCAGAATTGGCACTTATCTGCCTTGACTTTCTAAATAGAAGCTGCAAAAGGCACTTTTAGGGTTTTTTGTTGTGTGGTTTTTTTATTTCTTCCTTAGCAAAGCTTTGATAATTCTGGCATGCATTGAAAAACGTGTCCTGTACCATCAAATGAAGAGCAATATGTTCTTCCAAGAGCATTTGGCGATACAAAGGAAAACTTGGAATCGTTTGGAGCTCTCTAGAAAAGTAAAGATATCTGGGGGTGGTTAGAAGTGGATATATTCTGGTGGTGGTGATGTTGCAAAAAGTTTCGCAGTTCTTCAGCTGAGTTCAGAGACAGACCAGGAGAAAGAGCCGGGCAGCAAAAGCAATATGTGTGTTTGTGTGTCGCTGCCTGTAGTGAGCTGAAAAGGAGCGAGGTTTTGTATTACGAAGGCTTCAACCTCATTAAATAGCTGGGAAAATCAACTAGTCTTTTCTCATTTCCCTTGATGCAATTCTACAGAGTGGAAAAGAATTAGAGCTAAAGAAAATAGCCCTCTGAAGTTTCACAGTTTAAAAGGACAGTGCTCAGTAGCACTGGACTCAGTGTTTTTATTATAAAAAGACCAGTGACTAACCAACCAACCCAAATCCAACCCTTTCAGCAAGGATTAGTAGAACAGAATCATAGAATCACTTGGTTGGAAAAGACCTTTAAGATCATCGAGTCCAACCATAACTTGTCCACCACTAAAATGTGTCCCTAAGCACTTCATCTACCTGTCTTTTAAATACCTCCAGGGTTGGTGACTCCCACTTCCCTGGGCATCCCATTCCAGTCCCTGATAATGCTTTCAGTGACTAAATTTTTCCTAATATCTGCTCTAACCCTCCCCTGGTGCAACTTGAGGCCATTTGCTCTTGTCCCATCACTTGTTACTTGGGAGAAGAGACTGACCGGCACCTCACTACACCCTCCTTTCAGGTAGTTGTAGAGGGCAATGAGGTCTGCCCTCAGCCTCCAAGCTAAACAACCCCAGTTCCCTCAGCCGCTCCTCATAAGACTTAGAGGATATAAAATTCATAGGTTTTCCCTTGGTATAACACCAAAATAGGTTGATCTCACCTTTGCGCAATGCCCAGCTGTCCATCTTTGTAGCTTCTCATTCTGGAAGTTTTAGGACATCAGGTCCTAAGCCATGGGGCTTGAGCTGGGACTAGACTTGCTCCATGGCTGCAGAGTTTTCTCCCATCAGCACTGTGACTACCCCTGCTTTTGTGCCCGTTGTCTCAGCTCATCCTGACTGTGAGTCGTTCCTCATCTTCCTTCTATTTTTAGTGCTTGGGTTACTTTCCCACCGCACCTATTCCCTTGCCAGTTGTGTAGCCGAGCTCTATATATAGTTATATTTTTATTCTTTCCTGATAAATCAATCCTCCTTGGCCCGTTAGTCATCTTAATGCCGATCCTTCTGAGAACAGAAGGTCACTCTAGTTTCCTACTTCCAAGCAGAAGTGTTTACTGTAAACAGATTTCTCCTTTCAGTGCCTGCTCTCATATACAGTGACACTTGTATTGTCACTGAGTGTCTCTGTGTAGGGATGTAGTGGTTCTTAAACTTTGTCATAATATGTTGCTCTGTTATGACGGTAAAAAGTTTCCAGGGCTCCTCACCAGCCTTTTTGCAGCCCCGGGGTTGAGCATCCATTATCCTGCAGCCTGATTCTTCAAAGCTGCGGTTCCAGAGCAAGGCTAAAAAAGTCTTCTGAGAATTAACAAACAGTACCAGTGTTGAAAGCAACATTTGAAATAAAGGTTAGCTTTAATTAAATAAAGGCTGTTTGAATGGAGCCGCCTTTATTTTTTCTTCCCTTGAGTGCCCTCGTCAGTCTTTCAAGCATCCCAAGATGCCAAAAATGGCTAAAAAGATTATTTTTTTTGACTGATGGTGCTGTGTGATGGTTTCTGTCTCTGTCTTTGGATGCTGAGCTCATGGGTGCATCCTTGGGAGATGCACCTGTACCTGTATCTGCACAAGTGTCCCCTGGATGCAGGGCTGCTGGGCTGTGGCTCCTCAGAGCACCAAGTGTTGCCTATTTATCCCTGAAAGGTGAAAAATTCAGAAGCACAAGGGTTGGGACATTGAGGGTGATGGCTCCTTACGCTGTTCTTTATCTTAAGGAAACAAGAACGTGGCAGATGTACATTTAAGGCTATAGAGGAAAAAGGTAGTGTTTAAAAAATGGACTTGTGTGCACTTCCTTTATTTACACAGCCCCACTGGAGAGGTTGTGGTCATGTTCCCTTGGAGAGCACGTGAACCTCTATGAAATGTGCCCTCGCTGCCATCGAAAAATGTGTCGTTCTCTCCCACCATCTCATTTGTAATATTTGCTAAGTATAACATGTCATATGTACCTGGATGGCTGCCCTGAGCGCACACCAACTCAAAGACAGGGATAATGAATTGCAGATGCGGAGCAGGCTGTTTTCGCTCATTAGCTTGATTTCTTAACCAACAGATTTAGCAAAGGATGTGTTTTCTATTGAAGACTCCAATACTGATGCTGTTAAATCCAAACGGCTCGTTATCTGATTTTGGGAAAAAAGCATCTGGAAACATGGCTTGACTTGTTGAAACATCTTTGTTCATTTGAATAAGTCAAATAGCTGCCTTTTTCCTTTGAAGTTTAAAAAATAAAAGCCTGAAAAAACAAACCAAGTGCTTCCCAGCTGAGACCTTGCATAAGACTTTTTGGCTAAAGCCACTTTTTTTTTTTTCCCCCCAAAAAGGAGTAAAGCACTGAAAAATACCCTGAGTTCTGACTGAAGAGAGCCCTTTCCGTTCTTCTCGTGGCAGCATGTCAGCGATACCACAGAAAGGGAGGCTTGGCACGGGTTCATAAATGAGTAATAATGTCAAACACATATGATTGTTTTGCTGCTTCCTCCGAGTGGTCGAAGGAAGGAAGTTATACATATAATTTAGCTGGGCTTCAGGAAATAGTTTGATACAGTTCTCTGTGGAGAGCAGCTTTGCAACCCTCATAACTAAAAGCAGAGGGTAAGGTAGCAAAAGGTGGCAGGGAAGGGAAGCGAGCATTTAAGGAAGAGAAAGAAATGACTGCTAGAGCACTGCAAAAATCACTGCAGGTCTCTTTTGGCATTGATCTGTGGGAGAGGGAGGATGTGTGGAAGTGGAGTTGGTCTGATCCGGGGAAGTCTCCTAAGGCCTTGTGCAGCGAGGAAGGAAACCTCAGTGTGAGAAGACTGAAGTGCTACCTGGATGACAGGCAAATACAAAATATCGAGAGCTGCAACTTGATTTTCTTAAAGGCTTTTGTGCAGGAATAAGTATTTTTTTAAAGGAGAAGGAGATGGCACGTGGAAATTAAACTGTAAAAAAAATCCAAACCCAAAACCTGTCTCCTGCTTGCACCAGGGCTGCTGCTGCTGCTGGTATCTGGGGTGTAGAGTCAGTGATGCTCAAGGCTGCGAGAGCAGTTGTAGCTCAGCCCTCATCATGCGTGCTTCATGGCACGATCTTTAATTGCATGATCAAATCCTCCTCTCCCCTGACAGGATATATACAGGCTGCAGGAAAGGCGCTGTTCAGGGAACGAGGCATCTCTCCATCGTTTTTCTGCTGCTCATTCAGTCAGCGGCAGCGGCTGTTATTTATTACTTGCCATCTAATGCCTTTGGTACATATGGAAGCATTTGTTTCCTTTACGGTCTTTTCAAGGGTCTCTGCTGTCCACTGGGGTATTTGAGTGCCAAGTTGTTTTCTGAAAGCGGAGGCTGTTGATCTATGCAGTTGCAGCAGGAGAAGGCACACAGAGAAGACAATCTGGGGCAAGTTGGCTCCCAAAGAGAAGAGGCAGGAGTTGTCTGACGTTGTTTTTCCTCTTCTCTTCATTGCCGTGTCTGTCCCTCCCTGATGCAGGCAGGAGTGCGTAGCCACGGAAGAAAACCCGCAAGTGTTTTTCTGCTGCTGCGAGGGCAACTATTGCAACGAGAAGTTTACCCATTTGCCTGAAGTCACCGGCCCAGAAGGTGAGTGACCAGTGTGGATGGGGAGTAGGGGTCTTTTCCTCTAGACCCAGTTTGTGATGGCTTTGGGCTTTGGGCCACTGGACAAAAAACACATCCACTAGGACACAAAGTACCATTTTGGTTACAAAGTCCAGAAATCCTGTTGCTGGGGTTCTTTAAGAATACTTGTTTAATGTTGTTTTACGCTGTGGGTAAAGTGTGTTGTACCAACACCTCAGTACCATCAGCAAGGATTAGGTTTTCTTTATGGTCGACCTTCACAGTGGGATCTTACGAAACAAAATCCCGCACAAGGAGAAAAGGGCAGAGTGATTTATACAGCATAGATCAAGACTCGAACTTTTAAAAGGTATTTGGCACCTTCTTCATTAATTTTCATAGGTCTCCAAATACCTTGAGCATCTGGGATTTTTGCATCCTATTGCCATTTTGTTGGTCTGGGGATTGAAAAAGAACAGGTCTGTGTGTCACCTTTCAGAGTTTGTGGATATATTTCAAGGAAGAAAAGTAATAGCAGGTCCTTCTTCAGAGGCTAATAGAAAAATGATGATTCTTTTAGCTGTAGGCTTGCTCAAGTATTATTCAATAAAAATATTAGAGCAGGTGGATCTTTTCCTTAGGATGATTTCTTTTGCTCTCAACCTGCATTTACTGAGATGTTCCAGTAGACCATTATCAGATTTTCCTGGGCTTTCCTGTTAGGTTTTTAATTGTTTACAAGGGTTTTATTATCTCCTGTTATTAATGTACCCGTAGCAACCTAGTGGCAAATATTCTTTCTCTCACCGTTTTTTGTTTAATTTGGCAAGTCTTGCTATTTTTTCCTTCCCTGTCTCCAACATAGCAACATGGCTCCATTTAGTATTCCCATTGTTTGTGTCTCAACTGCACTGATGTAATTTGGAGCAAGAGCTACTGTGGGAATAGTGCATTTGATTGTGGCTCTGGCAGCGTTTTACTAAAAGCTGACATCTTGTCAATCACTGTAAAAGGCAAAGCAACGCTGCGAGGGATTTCGTGCTCGCTTAATACATTTGGAGGAGTTAAGAGGAGGAAATTTTCTACTTTTACATATCCCAATAAGAAATGCCCATCTTAAATAAAGGTCAGATTGGGGCTTGGCTTGCTAAGTGTGGTTTGGGCCATTGTAACCATATTAGGAACAGCCATATGAAAAAGAGCAAACCGCAGAGCCTCGTGAATACTGTTGGATGTGATGGGACAATACCACTAATCATTGTCAGCTTTGGAGCAGAAGCAAGGATGGGGTTTGGTTGCATCTGGACAGTGCTGTCGCATGCCTGAAGGGTCCTTTCCCTCATTTACTCTGCCCTTTTTCTGCAGTCATATACGAGCCGCCGCCACCAACGCCCTCCCTGCTCAACATCCTGGTGTACTCGCTGCTCGCCATCGCTGTCCTCTCCATGGCCATCCTCTTGGCCTTCTGGATGTATCGGCACCGCAAGCCTCCCTACGGGCACGTCGACATTAATGAGGTGAGGGAGAAACCACAAGCTTTTCCACGTCTGCACCTTGCAAAAGGCATGGAGGCTGCTCAGTGTCTGTTCACATCTGGTTTTGCTTCATGTTTTTCAGGTGGCCCAACTTGTCTCCTTCTCTGTCTTTTTGAAGCTGATGGTACAGTTGGCTTCCATGGCAGTAATAGCATCCCCTGGGAAGCTGGTGGGTTTGGACAGGGTTATCACCACGTCCAAGATCCCTATGGGATGGAGTTACACAGACCAGCTTGGTGGCCATCCTTCCCCCCAAACACTCAAAGCCCTTGCCTGGTTTCAGCCAGCTTTGGAGAGCAGCAGAGATTGAAAGAGATGATAAAGCTCCTACCGGCTTTATGGAGTGAGGGGAGATGCTTTCCCTGTTGAAGCTGTTTTTACGGGCCATTCAGAGAAGGCATGCAGGTCATCCTCATGGCCCAAAGCTATTGGGAACTGGTCATTGCTGCCTCTGCTGTGCCTTCAGGTTTCTTTTGAAGAGATGAGCAGCTACCTTTCCCTCCCTTCTCTGTCCATACTGTGAACCTTTCCCATCTGAAAGCAAATAGGACAGAGCTCCAAACCCATGCATCCTGCAGGGTTGCGTTGTTCTCCTGGACAAACACAGAGTTTAAGCAGATAGGATCTTTATGGTGCTGACAGACCTGTTTACTGCCTGTTGCTCAGGTCATGTGAAACATGCCTAATGAAGTGCAAAGTGGTGGGAGGTTTTAGGGGTAGTTTGCTGTTAGGTCACAAAGATCAAAAAGTTCCTACTTTTGGCAGGAGGTAGCCTTGAGGTCATCGGTGTTTTACAGCCCAAAATAGCTCTTGCTTTGAAAACATAGGTGAATTCAGGTTTTGCCAGAGGATGGCAGGCAGTAGTTCAATGCACAAAGTGACTCTTGGACCGTAGGTTGTTATATATGTTCTGTACAAATACCTTGCAAAGGAAGACAGGGAATTTCAGGCTGCTCTTGCTGCAAACAGTACATCTAAATAATTTGTATTAAATAAAAATGCCACTTCTTTACACCTCTTTCCCCACATGCAGTCTCTCTATCCCTCTCCTCCCTTCATTTTAGAGTCTGGCTTCAGCTTGTGGCAATGTTTTTCTCTCATGCAGGACCCTGGCCCACCACCCCCTTCCCCCCTGGTTGGCCTAAAGCCTCTGCAGCTCTTGGAGATCAAGGCCAGGGGACGCTTTGGCTGCGTGTGGAAGGCTCAGCTGATGAACGACTACGTAGCAGTGAAAATCTTCCCTATTCAGGTGAGAAGAGCATTGCATTACGTTCTCACTCGTCCGGCTTCCACACTGGTGCTGAATTGCTCCGGGTGCCTATGGAGGGGTTTTTAAGACCATAACAAAGATGCATTTGGACTTTTCTGCTGGGGGGAAAAATTCAAGGACCCTCCCTTCCTACAATTTTCCCTGTGTTATCTCATTACCAAATGCTTTCTGCAGTAGTAGTTGTTGCAAGAAGGGCAAAAATAAGCTTATTTTGAAATCTACAGGGTATTTTAACTTTGCTGCAAACATCTGTGTCATTAAAGTCCAGTGAGGTGGCGTGCATCTGCAGTGCCCCAAAGTGCACACAAAGGACCAAAGCCCTGGCTTTGTGTGTCCCACCTAGGTAGATGATAAATCTGGACCCGAACCCAGCAGTTTACAGCTTACAGAGGCGCAGCGAAAGCTAATTGCACCGCAGTGTTTCTGTCAGCTCACGTCTTCCGCTCTAGGAAACCTTTGAACGCTCCTGGCTTGACTCTCTAGGAACTGCAGATGGAAAGAGAACAGCAATCAGAAGTCAAATGAAAGGAGCAGTACTGAAACATCTTTGTGCTCTGCCACTATCTCTTTTCTACGTTAATTTTTCGCCCCGTATTTGTTGTCATAGCATTGCTAAAGGAGATTTGCACATCTTCTGTCCAAGCCAGCTGTGACCTACTAGTAAATATTCAATCGAGGCTAGATTAGATTTTGCAATCGTAATAGTTACAACTACGATGCAGAGCTGGGTGCTGTATGCACAGGCTTTATTCTTGCAAGCATCCTTAGGAAATCTTGACAAACCTTATTTCTTAGTGAGGTTGGGTTTGGATTCCTCCTTTCACCCCACACATGTGCTTTAGGAATAGCTGAGGGTAATTTTGGAGAAGGGAGACTGAGAACAGCAACTTCCAGTCTTTCTCTAGCATCTACCCTTTAGGAAAACAGCCCATTTGGAGGGGATCCATCATATATGAAGACTGGAGGATGATTTTAAGGGGAACGTTAGCAGCTCTGACTGAGCTGAAGGAGCTGTTTGCTTTGAAGGGAAACCTGATCTTTGATGGTGTATTTCTCCCTGCTTTAGGATAAGCAATCTTGGCAGAGCGAGAGGGAGATTTTCAATACTCCTGGCATGAAGCATGAAAACCTTTTGCAGTTTATCGCAGCAGAGAAAAGAGGGACAAACCTGGAGACAGAGCTCTGGCTGATCACAGCTTTCCACGACAAGGTAACATATTGTTGCATGTACATTTGGGGAAGGCAGAGAGGTGGTTGGTTGTGAAGCAGCAGGATTTGGGGTCTAATATTCTCTTAGGAGCTCCCCTTTAACGTGTCCAGTCTGTCCCTGGTGAGCCATGGCTCAGTGGTAGCAGAGAAGTGCTCCTGCTCCCCTTCCTTTAGCTTTCAACGCTTTCCTACACAAACATAGGATTAATAAAGGTGGGACGTGGGGATAGAGAGAAGCACAAAAGGCCACAGCGTACGTAGGTGGTGGTCACCATCTCTTAACGTGTGTAGATGAGCACGAGGGAGCCGGGTGTTGCAGATCGGTGTGGTCCCAACTCGCCCCTTGCAGATGGGCTCTGTGTTTGCTTTTGAAGCTCGGGTCATCTCTCCCATTTCATGGATTGCTTTAGTTATCGAACATGACTAACACTTAAAATAAAACAAACACACACAGATCCGGGGTTGAGCCAGCAGCGTTATCCCTCAGTTTAATCCAAGGTCTACTGAGTCAATCATTGCCACAACCAGCTGATGCCATGCATCGTCTTCTTGCATGGAAGGCTTTCCCCTTTCTTAGGTTAGATGAATTGCTCTGTTTTGAGATGATTTTGTCCCTTCCTTACCTCCCTCCCCTTCTCTGGCAGATTAGTAGACTCCTTTTGGACATTCAGGTAGTTTCTGTGCTTTCAAAGCCTGAGCACTCACGAACACTTCTGGGTTTTGTTTCTTTTTTCTTGTTTTCACTGCTGATTTTTCCTCCCCAACTGTTAAATCAAGATTCAGATTTCTCAAGCACTCATTAAAAACCAGTCTCTAAACCGATGACTTGGCACATCTGTCACATAGCAGGGTCTGTGGTTAAGAACATACGATGTCCTGTTTCGCAGGGCTCTCTGACGGATTACCTGAAGGGCAATATTATCAGCTGGAATGAACTCTGCCACGTTGCAGAAACGATGGCCCGTGGCTTGTCCTACCTACATGAAGATGTCCCTTGGTGCAAAGGTGAAGGACACAAACCTGCTATAGCACACAGGTACGGCCTCTTTCGTTGACGCCATTCGAGTGCTGTCTTCAAATGTTCACAGCCTCTTTGAAGTGATGCTGTTGAATGGAGGAGAGGAGATTGCGCTTTTCGGAAGTAAATGCCTTTTAACCCAACAGATCCTATGCTAAGACAGGAATTTCTTTCACCCACATATGAAATGGCAAAGGGCAAGGAAGCATCTTGTCTGTGAAACAGTCAGTATGGTTGGTGGTGGTTTATGGCAAATATCTGAAGGGTAGGTGCTTCCCTCTTCCATCAACTCTTCTCGTGACATGTAGTGGGAAGGGAAATCTGGTTGCTGCAGAACTGCTCTTTGAAAGGACTGTGCTTGACAAATCACATTATAGTCCATGTATTTCTATGGCCGTAGCAAGATTTAAACCCTATTTTTCCTAAGTGTTTCTGGACCAGTAACTCCACTGTGTATCTTCCCACAGAACTTTTGCTCAGTAGGTAAGGAGAAACTGTAGAAATGCAGAAAATGGCTGCTAATTTTCACTGTGGTTTTATAGTGCCAGGGTGCTTGCAAGAGACACCAGAGCAGGCACCAAGGTCCCTGGGAGACCCCTTGGCACGTGCTCCAACCCACCTGGGTGGCAGCACGAATGCAGAAAGCGGTGCGTTAAACCATCCTCATTGCCACAGTCCTTGTTTTAGCCCTTCTCCGCAGTCCTGGACTAAAGCATCTCTACCGAGTGGTTTGCTGGTGGCAGGGCAGGAGGGGGGAGTTTTCCAGAAGGGATTTACGCCGTAATCCGCAGCCGTGCTCCCCCGCCACCCACCGCCTTTCATCTAGGAGGGACTTAAACCCCGCGTCCAGCTGCAGCAATTTCTACTCGATGGAGCGGGGCCGTCTTCGTGTACACCAAGATAATCCCTGTTTTTGCAAGGGTGTCCCTGCCCCCCAAAACCAACTCCCCCCTCCCCAACCTGAAGGTTTCTGAGAGCTGTTGAAAGAGCCTGCAGCTGCCTTTGTGCTGTTCCTGGAGCTGACCCCTGTGTCCCTGACATTTGTCCCCCTGGAATAAAGGCAGTGGTTTATACATGGAAATTCCTGAGGGTGGGGAACGGAGAAAGGCTATAGAAAGGCTTTAAAGCAACAGATCGTGCTCATTAGTGTCCCCATCCATTTAGCAAATGATAAAAGATGGGGAATGCACCATTTGTGTGAATTTAGCACATACCTAAGGAAGAGGGATTTCAGGACACAGGGGATTTCCCTTGGATTACTCTGCTCCTTATTTTTCTTCTAAAAGAAAACACTAAATAAATGTTAAATTTAGGGGGGGAAGGTGTGTTTTTGAATGGCCTCACACAATGCATGTAAAGATGCCAGAAGTGCCAGGTGGGACACCCCGAGTCGCTGCTGGGCAGGGGTTCAGCCAAATCCTCACCCGCCCCACTACTACCAGGAGGATTCAGGCTCTGAGATCACTTCTTGGTGCGAAAGTGCCCCCATGTGGAAGCTGAAAATAAAATCTCCAGTGCCTGAATCAAGTTAATGCAGCTGCTGCTCATAGTCCGCTCACTCTCTTAGTCTCTAGGTTGAAGCATTACGTGGAAAAGGGTATTTTTCTCCTTTTCAGGCCACTTTCCCTTAGCAGTGACCATTTTAGGATGGTCTAAGGAGTGTGGTGTTAGTGGGAATTCTGTTTGGTGTGGCTTGGATTGGGTCTTTCTCCCTGTCCTGGATATGCTGGTGTTGCAGCTCCTGCTTGCCTGGTTCAAGGTGGTTTGTGGAAGGAAGGAAAGCATGGAAAAATGGGAAAATGTATGGAAATAGGGGGAAAAAGGAAGCACAAGGGGAAATCCTTGACCACGTATCAAGATGTAGTAGTTAACCGTTGTGTGCCCAAGGGCAGTGCAGGTGAACACCACCACCAAACGCCCATGCAATAATCCTGGTTTACATCTCGCTCTCCTTTGGAAATGTATCGTTCAGGCAGACTCTAATAATTTCTGTGTGGTCCCCGTTGAGCCAGTTCTGCAAAAATCTCCTGCACAATCTATACCATCCTGGAGGGCATAATCCCCTAATGCTGACCGAGCAAAGGAGTTTATCTCTGTCATTAGATGGTGGCTGTTTTCTAAGCCTGTGGGGAAACTGCTATAGCATGGAAGCAGTCAGTCTTTAAGATGACAGGTATTGGGTAAATGGTGCTTTTCTGTGTAAGGGAGGGGTACAGATATTTTGCAGGCTCTGCAAAACTGTCCCTAGAAATCTCATGTGTCCCCTTGAGGTGATGGAAACTGGTTTCTGCTGGGCTTCCCGGGTTGTATGATGTTCTACAACTTCACACCCACTTTTTCCCCCACCTTAATCCCTGAGCCAGAAATGCCCATCACGCTGTGTTTAGCTTAGGAAAAATCCTTTCTTCTGATTTTTTTAAGCTCAGAATCAGGGTGGTGCAGGATGATTTTTGCTTGCGGTGCTTTGAGCTGGTGCTCTGGCATCCAAGGCTGCAGTGAGCAGCCCTTGCCTATGGTCCAGCAGTTTCTCTTTTCCCAAAGAATTTTGACAGGTCTCTCTAGTGCGGAACAATTGTATCTGCCCTCATTAATTATTTTGTGCAGGCCTGCAATGTCCTGCAATCAGCAGGGTCACCAAGTGAATTGATGATAGGGAAATTATAATGCTGAGCATACAGGACAATTGCCATCTGCTGTCTAAGGTCTGTAATTTAATTAGATTGCCAAACATCCCTTTTCAGATGAAAATGCAGGAAGCCCAGGGAACACGGCTCAACTGGTTGGGCATCTCAACCCTCCTTCACCTCCGCCTTTTCAGCCCCTGCGGATTTACCTGAGCTGCCCTGAAATGATCCTGCTGCAGCACAAATGTCCCCTTAAAGCCACCTTCAAGCACAGAGCCACCATCTCCACTGCAAATGCTTATAGCTGCCCATCCCAACAGCTCATCCCAGTGTGGGCTCACCCCCTCCCCTCCTTGCTTTCCAACCCTCCCAATTCTCCAGGGAAGATGGGTCCAGCAATTAAAACATCAGTGTAATAGATGACTACGGCAAAAGTCTGTCGAAATGTGTAGTCAGGGTGAACAGAGTCCCACCAGCATCTGCTAATTTCCAGAAAGATCTAATTTTTTGTAGATAGGAGCAAACATCTTTGCCAGGATAAAGAGTAAATTCACCCCCTTAACCTGTCTTCCAGTTGGTTTTGGGAGTGAGAAATGTAAAAAGTGCCCAGAGGTGGGGGTCCACAGCTGGTGCTGAAGCAAGAAATGGTGCATTATAGCACCTGCCCTAATTAAAACACCCCTTTCATATCCTTCCTTGCTTTTATTTTGAGGTTCATTCACTGTAGACTTCAGCTGACTGTGCCAGGTAACCCAGGGCTGCTTGGTTGTGTTTTAGGGACACAGGTGGTGGGGAGCAGCCGACTTTTCCAGCGCTGGCCATGCTGGGCAGCTGAGGAAGGAAGGAATGAGCTGATTTACTGGGGGCTGCCGAGCCGATAGACTCACAATGCGGTGTGTTGCAATGTGATTTAGATGCGTGCAGTAATAAACCCTTCCCAAACTTGCTTCTCACCTTGTCCGTAGGGACTTCAAGAGTAAAAATGTCTTGCTGAAGAACGACTTGACGGCGGTGCTAGCCGATTTCGGGCTAGCTGTACGGTTTGAACCTGGAAAACCTCCAGGGGACACTCACGGACAGGTAATCATTATCTTTAACAATAACATTTTACAAAGTTGAGCTTGCCGTCGCTCCTCGGGAATGGAGGTTAGTTTGTGTAGATGCATTTAATTCTCTTTGAGTTATGTATTTTCCGTAAAAGCTTGTGCTCAGACATGAATTCCTGCAGCTGCTTTGATGTGGGAGAGCGCTCGGACCCTCTGGCCCCATGCAGGTGGAGTCCCCACAGCCCTGGGGGCAGGCGGCTTCTTCCTTCAACACGGGACTTGCTGACTCTTTATTGTCTCTGCATTAAATATTAATACCCCTAAAATTATTCATTTATTTTTTAAGAATTCAGCCGGGCTGGCTGCTTGGGTGACCTTTAGTGACAGCAGACCTTGTGAGCTGGCTCCGCTGCGTAAACAATTTACCACATTTTTATGGCTTCTTAATTTTCTGCCTTGACTTTGCAGTGAGCGGCCCCTCCTTCTGCTTTTGTGCCAGGGCGCAGCGAGACCAGCGGTCCCCTCTGTGTTCCTCTGGGGTTTTCTGATTGCCCCTCTCCAATGTTAGCTCCCTTTTTACTTTTATCTCAGGAGTAAGCACTTTTTTGAGTTAGCTTTCCCCAGCTTTCCTCATTTTTGCCCTCTTTTTAGGGGGCTTTTCCGGTATTTTTTTCACATCCTGCCTTCCCCCTGTCCCCAATGCCTCATGTAACAGCAAGAACAGATGAGAATTTGTTAAAGGAAAATATTAAAGGCATTTTAATTCCCACGTTAAAAAGGGGAGTCTTTTCCTTGCTCTGCTCCCCACTCTCCTACTTTATGGGCTGTAATTCTGCCACATGTGTAACCACAGCCACATGAGGAGCTCGGTATGGCTCTGCCTGGACTAAACACATCAGTACAGGTGCTATAATGAGGTTGAATCTCCTCAAAGAGAGAGGGGATCTTTTCTGAACAGATCACAGCAAGCCAGGGCAGGGTTTGTGCTCCTGTGGATGCAAGAGAGTTGTTTTACCCAGAGCTGTCAAACCAACACCTTTTCCTACCATTTCAGGATATATCAATTTGACTTTTCTCCTTTTAAATATATATTTAATTTTAATATATTTTTTTTTAGTAAAAGGGGATTGAACTTCCAGTGACGATGATAACCGAGCCTGACTTGACCTCAGGGTGTTTTGTGTGTCTCCAAAGGCAGCGTTTTCTCATGCAAGATGCAGTGGGATGCACGGAAGGCAGGATTTCGCCCACATTTAAATTAGACCTGTAGTGCACGCTGAATGAATATCGCACACATAGATAGCCATCCACTTCGGCTTTTTCCTTCAGGTGCCTTATCTGGACTAGAGTGATCTTAATGAGAATTGGTGTCAGAAAAAAACAGCTCCTTTGGCTTGTTTTCTGAGCGAGGTCCAACTTTAGCAGAAGTAGCCTTAAGGCTAATGAAGCTGGCTGTCGCTCATCGCCAGCCCATGGAGGCTGACGGGCCCAACTGGAACATAACTTGAGTTATTTTTTTCTCTGTAGGTGGGAACGAGGAGGTATATGGCTCCCGAAGTGTTAGAGGGAGCAATCAACTTCCAGCGAGACGCCTTCCTGAGGATAGACATGTATGCAATGGGACTGGTGTTGTGGGAGCTCGTCTCCAGGTGTAGAGCAGTTGATGGTAAGGATAAAGATGGTCGCTTCTCTGGGGAGGGCTTTGGTTCAGCTGTCATGGTTTATGCAGGTGCTCTGTCACCCTGTGCCTCTCCCCCACCTGGAGAGGGGGTTCTGGAAGAGGAAAGTCAATTCGCGGGCTGAAATAGAATATTTAAGAAAATAATAACAAATAATAACAATGAAATAATAATAGTAATAATAATTATAATTTTACCTCTGTGCATTATATTATAATATTGTAATATTATAATATACAGATTTATACTCAGCCAATACTGTGTGGGTCAGGATGGTGAACAAGTCCCTTTTGAGATGTCAGCCATGGAAGAGGGAGCAGGAGGGAGAGGAAGAGGCAGAGAAAGAGGAAGAAGGGCCTTCCCAGCAAACTCCCCAATTTATAGTGAATGTGGCATTAATGGTATGAATAGTATTTATTGGTCAGCCTGGGGTCACCTTGGGGTTGACCCCCCTGGGTTTCCATTCCCCTCAGCCTTTGCATCTGTTTATCTCAAGATCTTGAAGACCCTAAGCATTATGGCAACCTGCACAGCAGTATTAGCTGGAACCTAGAGCAAAGTTTTTATCAACTTTGTTCCCATGAAATAGTGTTGCAGTCCTTACAAAATGACAGTTTTCCTCAACAGAAAACTGACTCTGAAATTCTGTCCCACTAAACCAGGACATCAGCATGGTTTACTGGTCCAGAGAATGGGCCTGGCTTTGTTTTAATAAAAAAAATAATTGATGGTGTATTTTTATTAAGCAGCTAACCTGTTTTTCACTTGCTTGTTTTTTAACATCATTCTGTGTAGATAATAACCTCTGTAGTGTTCAAGTGTTTAATCTTTGACTTTTGCTGATCAACCCCTCTCTCCACAGTGGGCTGAGGTGGTTGTTCCACCTATGACTTTGGAGGATCTCGCTCTCTCCTGAATTGATTCAAAAGATTGAACTTTCATGGCGTCCCCTTTCTCAATTTTTTAAATCCTAAAATGGTGCTGCAAAATGGGGCCAATGGGGGTCTTTTCTGTCCAAAATAGGACCTCTCTTTTTGGTGACACACTTGCCATTTGCAGGACCTTGCCCATGGGGACAGAAGTAATTATTTCATTGTCGTAGCTCCAAGGCTGCTTGCTCCAACTTCTTTCTTCTTGTATAGGTGTGGGTGCTCTGGACTGAATATCAAGTTCATAAATTAACAGCACCTCACCTGGACTTCAGATGTTTCTGTTAGTATTACGGTAGGACTGAGTAGCTTCATTGTAATTGGGATGTCTGTATAGGTGTGTGGTAAGGAAAGGCTTTTTCTTCAAAAATTTACTTTCTAAGCAGATAAAATGCTAGAGGAGCAGGGAGGTAGGAGCACAGGGAGGTGAAACAGTGGTACCCAGATGACTCACGCAGGAATAACTCTTCTCTGTTAAGGCCTCCTAAATATCCACTATATTTGCCTGTCACGTCTCTCATCTCCTTCCAACTCTTTTTAGGCAGTAGCTGGCCAAAGTACTCCAAGTGCCATACCCAGCACCATTAAACCAGAGGAAAGGCTTCATTTGGGCTGATGTGGAGTTACTCTGAACCTCATCTGCACTTCTAGCTCAGAAGTGATGCTGTGTAAACAGCAGCTTTGTCTTGGAGATCATCAGTGTAGCTCTTCGTAGTCTTAATTCCTATTAGGAAGAGGAAGGGAAGGTCCTGAGTGTTTCTGTGCCTCCTGTTGAAACTGAAATGAGTGGTTTAGTTTGGTTTAGTGACTGGCATTGTGTCACCAAGAATAACGATAAGCTGTTTTAGTAATTTCAGGTTTTTTGGAGTACCTAAACATCATGTTGTTGGTGTCACAGTTCATGACCAGCTAATGCGGTCAGCTCTTTTATTTTAGCCTGGAAAGGCCCTCTTGAAATATCTTCACTCTGAAAAGAGATCACTCTCTGCTACTGAGAAACCGTGAGTGATGCCACAGAGCACTCTGAGAAACCCCATCAGTTAAGCTGGGCTGCTCTCTGTGAGAGGTCTTCTATGCATTGCCAAAGGTCAAATGATGTTTCAGTAAGCAGAAGTTATTGCTACTGTCCATAGCAGTTGTCTCATTCCTGTGGGCCAGGGCAGTTCCCAGCCATAACTGGTATAATAAAGCCTTCAGAAACCATTCTGCACTCAGGAGCTGGTACTTGGGACAAGTGAGTCTGGCTCCAGTGTGTCAGGTCTGACTCAAACCTAGGAACAAGCCAGATCACAAACAAGAAATTATTATTAAGTGTTGTGTATTCTTGGCCTTGCTAGTCAGTGCCTAAAATGAAATTATGCTCATGCTGAAACCTTTCTCTAGGTTACTGTGTCTTGAATTGCTATGTTAAAATGTCAGGAGAGTTGGCTGATTTGCTTGTTCTGTTAAAATAGATCGTGGTTGAGGTTTCTCTGGAGCTACAGCTCCCTAACCCATGGGGAGGACATGGCTCTGCAGAGGACATTTCTGTACTAACCCACTTCTCCATGTGTGACTTAGGTCCAGTGGATGAATACATGCTGCCTTTCGAAGAAGAAATAGGTCAGCACCCATCCCTTGAGGACCTGCAAGAAGTGGTGGTTCACAAGAAGATGCGCCCCGTGTTCAAGGATCACTGGCTGAAACACCCCGTACGTCCCTCCAGCTTAACGGTGGAAAATGCTTTTTGGAAAGGGTTTGCTCAGCACCTTCGTGCTCCCTTTTCCATTTGTCCCTTGTATTTAGAGAGTAACCCAGCTGGTTAAAGTCAGCCAGTGCTGAACGTGGAGTGTGTGGTTGTTTAGTAGGACTTGTGTAACCTGATGAAAGAATGGAAAATTAAGTCCCTTTCATTAAGAAAAACAAAACAATCCATATCAGGAGAGACATGTTCCTCATCAGCTCGATGGCATGCAAGATTTGAACAATTTTTTTGAGGAAAATTTATTTAGATGTGAAGGCAAGCAGCAGGTAAAATGCAGCGTGAGTTTCCCAGAGGTAGATCGTTTCAGACTCGCATTTTTAATAGAAGAGGTGATCTTTTTTTTCAGTCTGTGGAACTGAGCAGATGATTGAGTCTCACGGGCCTTCAGTAAGAAGCTGAGTACCTCTGTTTTGACCACACTGCCACGGTTTTGGGTAGATTCAGGTGTACCAACTCATTGCCTAGAAGTCAAGGAGAGCCGTGGGTTGCAGATAAAGATGATTGTTCCAGTTGCTGGGTGAGCGAGGTTCAAGTAAGCGCTGTGCTCTTCCAGCAGTGTTGAATTTGCTTATTTTGTTTACAGAAGTGATTGCAAACAATGCAATAGCTTTGTAGTAACTGATGTGGGACTGCCAGCTCTCATGGTTTTATCATGGAAATCATAATATTTGATGTCTTGTCTTTTAACCTGTAAACTGCTGAATCTTGTGATGTACTTTGATATTTTTAAAAAAGTAGTTTTTCAGGCTATGAAAAAAAAGCTGGATGAGACCAAGCTCTACAGCCTTAAAAAAACCCTGAAAAGACCCATTTAAAGTAATTTTTAAAGCTAATCTCATGATAATTTGAATACTGTGGAGAAAATATTCTCAGTTTTTCCTTACGGCATTAAGCTGTGTTAAGTGGACCTCCCTGTCTGCTGCAAGGACGGTCCCTGGAGCAGAATTTTGTTGCTGAAGGCGCTTTCTCCCCAATTCTCATCCACAGGGCTTGGCGCAGCTCTGCGTGACCATCGAAGAGTGCTGGGACCACGACGCGGAGGCTCGGCTCTCGGCGGGCTGTGTCGAGGAGCGCATTGCGCAGATCCGCAAATCCGTCAACGGCACTACCTCGGACTGCCTGGTCTCCATTGTGACGTCCGTCACCAACGTGGACTTGCCACCCAAAGAGTCGAGTATCTAAGTCCTGGTTTGCTTTTGTCTTTCCAGACTCAGTGGATTAAAAAGAAAAAAAAAAGAAAAGAAAAAAAAAGAAAGAAAAAAGTTTAAAAAAAAACCCACAAAAAAAACAAAAACACAAAAATCCAACAAACACATGAATGCAGCTGCTATTTTATCTTGACTTTTTATTATTATTGTTATTATTATTATTATTATTTTTTTGGATTGGATCAATTTTACCAGCACATTGCTCTACTGTATTAAAAAAAAATGGACATTTCAGCAAGCATTCAGGTGCCGACTAATGAATGCAGAAAAGGTGCAGGTACCTCAGAACCTCAACAAACTCACTTCAGTTGTTTTTATTTTATTCAGTTTTCTGGGTTTCTCTTTATCGGTCTGTCTTCTGAGCGGAGCATCTGTGACATAAAGGAAAACCACCTACCATCGTAGAAAACGCAATGCTGCAAACTGTGGAGGAAACTTAAGACTGTTATATAAAGAATACACCTTCCTCAAAAGGAAATTTTTTTTTCCCCATTTTGTTTTGGTTTTGGGTTCAGTTTCTTTTTTTTTTGTCGTCGTTGTTGTTGTTTTGGAAGTGAGCTTCAAAAAAAAACAGCAGATGTGTCTTTTACGGATCTAACGGGTGTCATTGTAACATGGAAAAAAAAAGTAACTGGGCAGAGAATGTTAATTCTTGATGGTAGAAGTGAAGGGGGGAGCGTAGAATAGGGGTGGGGAGAGCGACGTTGGACTTGGCAGCATTTGGGGAAACATCATTTGCTATGGAGCTACTTCTCAGGTAACCATTAGAGGAGGGGAAGGACATTTTTGGGCAGAGTATTAACAGCTGCAGCGTATGGAGAAAGCTGAGTCAGAGAGCCAGTGGTTGTGAGGAAGGTGCTCATCTTTCTTCCTCCAGTATCTTGGGCTCAGGTGGTAAAAGAACAGAGCAAGATCTATAATTCCCTTTTATTTTTTGACTCCAAAAAGTAATGGGAAGGCTGCTTTTAAGAAGTTTAATTGGAAGACTTGGGAAAGTGTGTTTTTGGTAAAATACTGGAAGATAGGAAAAGTTTTGTATCTTACTTTAAGTACGAGTCAGTTCAGGAAAATGAGCCTTGGGGTTGGTTATGTGTCAGCCCAAGCAGATGGTGAAGAGAGGCAGAGTGTGAAAACTGGCTCTATGATTTATTTTTTTCCTTATTAATTTGGTGATGGGGAGGGTGGAAAAACCTGAACCGGTGGCAGATGGCTCCTGTAGCATCCGAAAAGCCCTGCCCAGCTGTGGGGTGTGGAGGCACCGCAGCAGTGACCATTGCAGCAGCGACCATCGCAGCATCTCCCACTGGTTTCTTTGACGCTGCTTTCTCCTTACTCTGTGACGAAACTTCTTTTTTGTCTTAAAGTGGTGCATATTCTAAAATACCGTTACTCTTATTATGCCATAAGCTCGCTCTAGTCAGTGAATGTTCCTAATGCTGCTGATTCAACATTGAAATATTTTTTTAATTTGCAAAACATGCAATGTTTAAAAAAAAGAGAAAAAAAAGCTAAAAAAAAAATACCACAAAACATAACACACACACACAAACACACACACACACACACACACACACGTTACGTGGCTTCCGAGGTTTAAACTGAAAAAAAAAAAAATTAAAAACTTCATGACCACAGACCACCTCAAACCAGAAATACCTCAGAATTTTCTACTTGTATGAGTTTTATTATATATTTTGTTAGTTGTGTTGTCTTGTAGTAAGTATATTTTAATGTAAGTTGGCTTTTATGACAAGGGAGTTTTAAAAAAAGAAAAAAAAGAAAAAAAGTTCCAAAATCTTTTAGGAAGTGCTACCATTTTTTTTTTGTTTTATAAAGCACCATTGTAAATAACTGTATACAGTTGTAGAATAACTGCCTATATAAGGTACCTGGGCATTATTCACTCTTATTTGTGAAAGCTGTTTTCCATTCTGTGTTTATTTTTTTGGTCTGTTTTGGTGAAAGGACAGTACATCTTTTTTTTTTCTTTTTTCTTTTTTTTTAAATTATTATTTCTATTTTTTTGACTTTGAATATAACATGGATTCTGTGTCTTGCTAGACTGACAAAGTTATGTCCATTGGATGGCCAGAACTTCTAAATTTTCCTTTGTGTTAAGCCAAAACGCAGTCCTGAACTAATGACCCTGTAACAAAAATGTACAAAGCCTGTATTATATAAGCGAATTGGACTTCTTGCCACTGCCAAATTATCAGCGTGCAGCCTTGCACAGATATAATTTATTAAGCAAACAAAATCGCCAATTGGAGAACATATAAAGAAAAATTGAAATATATTTCTTGAAAAAATATAGCTTTAAAACCTAGAGGTCACAAATGAGGACACGGTCCTTTATCTTGAAGAGACAGTAAGATAATTGCCTTAATTTGTCTATCTGAATAAAGTCTTAACCTATTAAGTTACTGAATGTATATTAGTGTGTACACACATGTGGCTGTATTTCCGTGTGTAGATTTGGGAGTTTCTGTTTCTTAATGTGCTTCTGTTGCGAACACCTTGACAAAACCCGACGGGATGATACCATTGTGACCCAGCTGATGTCCCCGCGGGTGGTTGGCATCTTTTTGGGCCTGATGCTGCACCGTACCTGTGCTTAGCATCACTAAGTCACGACATTGGGCACTCACGTAATGCTAAGCATAGTCGTAAAGGCTTGCAGGATCGGTGCTTTTTAATGTTTGATACATTTCTGCACTGAGATTTATATAAAAATGTGACGATGTTTTAGAAGTGAAGTGATGTGAAGGTTGGGGGGGAGCGTAGAGCAGTTAAGGTTGAGTGAATACTTGTTTCGAGGTGGGCTTGCTCCCATTTCCCCGGGAATGGGAGCCAGTTCCTATTGCTGCAGAAAGAAAAAAGCTGTACTGTCTTTTAACTGTTAATATCTGTTTGCTGGTCTGGATTTTTTTCCTTCAGCATGATGTATTATGGCTAAAACAGGCTTATTACAGCAGTTGCTTTTTTCTGATTTCTTTAAGAAGCTTTAAAGTATTTATTGAAAGTGCCATATGATTTTAATAGCCTATTAGACAGTCTCTTAAATCTTCTCTTTTGAGAAAGCATAAACAAAAATTCTCATGTGTAGCTTATCTTACTGCGGGGAACTGCGCGACCGTGCAAACTTTGACCAAATGTTGATTGTAAAAAGTATTGCATCTCCCCTGGTGTAACGGTTCCTTATAGATCATTTTGTCAACAGGATTCAGAAACTGATTTTTAAAAGAATTTCCAATTGTGCTCAGCTGCAAATTTTAAATGTCTGTAGGTGTGCATGTCTTGCTGTCGCAGCAGAGAAGGCAATCCTGAACTTGTGCATATTTACAAATTTGTGCCTGTTTAACCGAAGCGGTTCTTTTAAACTGGTATTTATTTATTGTATTAAGGAAGATAAGTCCCTTCCAACCTAAACCATTCTATGATTCTGTGATAAGCTCTGATGAACTTAGTGGTCTTTCAACACTTGAGCTGTCAAGCAAGTAGTTTCCTCAGCACTAATCTAATGTTTGAACTCGCATTGACAACGGGATTTTGGTCTGTTCAGCACTGCAGAGGCTTTTGCCAAGTCAGCAATCGGGCACATCCATAGGTGTAGCTGTAATAAGCAATCATGGCTTTTTTCCTCTTTAACACTCCCTTGAATGTGATGGGTACCACATCTCTTACGTTACTTCCCAAGCACTAAATTTCACTTCCCATTCAGACTTAGAGGAAGTAGCTCTTCAAAAACTTTGCTGCAGGATTTCATTGTTGATCTTCCTGTCTTGTCTGGTAGTTCTTAGGTAAATATTAACCTTGAGTATCCTGGGTAAAAATTCTCCTTGACTTCAGGAGCCAGGCTTCCCCATCTCTCTGGTGTAACTCCCTTTATGAATTTATTGCACTGGCCGGGCTGGTTTCCTAGGTGGAAAAGTTGGTGCTCGCATTTTGAAACTGGAAATCCCACAGGAACTAAAATTGCTTTGTTTGAGATGATAGGGCTGTGACTTGCTAATGAAGTTGCATTAGTACAGCAAGGCTGGAAATTGTATGTGGCTCATGTTGAAATATGTGCGCGTGTTATAGAAGATGGCTGTAAACCAGTCTAACCATCTAACTACTACATCTAAACCAGTCTAACTGCTAAGTAGTACCAGGCTTACTCATAATAATAGTATAGTTTTCTCTATTTAAAACAAAAGAAAATCACTTTTTATTCCTCCTTGTTCTTCAGAATATAACTCTATGCTCTATGCTAGGTAGAGTTACACCTATGGAAATGCCGAGATCTTTGTGTGCATTTGTTTCGAAGAGAAGGTCTCCGAGTGCCCCCGGTAACTCCACTGCATTTCACTTTGGTCTCCTGCTGTTCCCACTTGAAGTTTTGGTGTCAGTAGAAGCAGCAGAAGCTTTGGGTCCACTCAGTGCAGCGGTGCTAGGGGGTGCTTCCAGGTTGATTGGGTCAGGCCCCACCGTTGGGAATCCTGATCCCCATTAATATCCCCAGACTGTCAGAACTTACCCTGTTTTGGAGGGGAAAAGATCTGGTTTCGCTTGGTATGGAAGAAACTTGCATGGCAGAGGAAGGTGCTGGTTGCGAAGGTTGTGACAGTGCTGTTGTTGCAGTCCTCTTCACACCACACTCCGCTTGAGAAGTCGCTAAGCAGGAAGTGTCCCGCAAACTGTTATCGCTTTTACATACAGAACATTGTTTGGTAGCATTGTAAATATAATAGACTATATAATAGAGGAAAATAAGGACATTTTTGACTTTTTTACTTTTAGAAAAATATATATATATTTTAGTTACATATACAAACAAAAATTCTACATTGTGTGAGAATTCTTTTATACCACAGATTATTTTTGTAATGTCTAATATGTTTCTGCAGGGAAAAGGGAGAAAGGTCTGTGTACGCACAGCAAAATAAATAAATAAATATATATATAATGCTTAAATTAAGTGTGCACTACATCAAAGTCTAGAGGATAGAATAAGTTTAGCCTGAAACCAGTTTGAGGAGCAAGGTTGGATGTATTTGGACATGCATTGAGGACGGCACTGAGTATATGTTTAGGTTAT